CAGGATCACCCCCAAGGCCACTTGGCATCAAACGGGAGGTTCTCAAAATCAGGAGTTGCTTTACTTGGTTCTACATGGGGGCGCCTTTGTTTTCTGAAACGTTTTGGTGTCTAGGACTAGGACGGGGGAGCCTCAAATCCGTGATTCGTTCCTCGCCTGCAGGACAACATCCGGGAAATCCGGGAACGGCCTTCGCCCCCCGTGAGAAGAGTTCCTCCTTTCCCAGGAACTGTTTAATGACGGCGGCAACGGGGACAAATGCCGCTGTCTGTGATGTAGGATGAGCCATGCTTGACTTTCGGCTGAAAGGGCCGCAACAAAAATGACGCGGCTTCCGATTCCTGCTCGTTTGGAGCTTTCGCTGTCGCAAGCTTGGACAAACCTATACCCATAGGCTCCTACGTAGTTCCTTTTTGGGATTACCGTTATAGGATTCTAAACATAATCCACAAAAAGGAACTACTTAGGAGCCTATGGGTAAGTCTATAAGTGCGCTAAGCCTCATCCTCGCCATACCCTAGTCCCTAGACCCCTAAACCCCTAAACCCTAAACCCCTAAACCCCTAAATTCCTAACCCCTAAACCCCTAAACCCTAAACTTACTTACCGAGTCCCTTGATCCGACAGCAGGTCCATGCGGTTCAGGGCCGACCGGAGCTGGAGGAGGCTGGAGTGGACCACTGTATCCTCGATTCTCATTAGATTGTATACTGATGGAATACAATATCTTATTATTATTATTGTTATTGTTATTACTCTTATTATTATTACTTTTTTTGTATCATCATTATTATTATTACTGTATCATAGATTCTCATTAGATTGTATACTGATGGAATATAGTAGTATTAGGTACCCAGAGGCCCCTAAGTAGTTCCGTTTTGGGATTACCTTATAGGATTCTAAATATAAGCCACAAAAGGAGCTACTTAGGGGCCTATGGGTATACTGGCCTACCCGGTATACTACATACACCGAGCCGATAGAGCCGATACTTTGCGTGGAGCCGAAGCCCTGTCAGGCTCAGAGGCAGATTGCTGCTTTGCAGGATCAGCTTGAGGCAAAGCTCGGGTTTAGGGTTTAGGATTTGCCACAGAGCTGTGAACTTCGTGTTGCACGCGGATGTGCTGATGCAGGCCGGACACGGCGAAATGAGCCGCTTGCGTGCAGATCTCGCTGAGGTGCTGGCACAAAAACTGTCCATGCAGCAAAGTAGGTGTTTTCCAGTCACGTCAGACGCCTCTACGAATGAGAGGCACAGAAGTTGAAGTCCGAGGTCCGGACCTTGACTTGCGCAAGCGTGTTTGGAAAGATAACATTCATCTGCGATCACCTGCCGACAGTGCACATGATGCCGAACACGAAAAGAAAGTGATGGTGAACATAATACCTAAGTAAGTAGCAATGATGAAAATCACAAGGACAAGTGTAACAACAGAATGACTGTGATTATGATGATGGTCTTGATGGTGATGGTGATGATTATGATGATGGTGATGTGGTGATGAGGATGACGACGTCGGTCATGGTGGTGCTGGGCAGCATCATCAACATCATCATCCTCATCATCACAGCGATATTGCGCCTCGTGCTGGTGGCATGACCCTGGGTCCTAGGTAGTGTTAGGGAGACCCCTCAAAGGGGACCCTTCTGAACCCTACTTGTGGCTCTCTTAACAGGGACCTTATTGAGAGGGTCTATATCCCCCAGGGTCCCCCTCATCCTCAGTCCTACTGGAAGGAGGAGAAGCAGCTGGTTGAGTTCAAGCTGCTGAGAGCTAAGGTGCCTAGGTTGCAAAGCAACCTCCAGGGGGCAAGGTGGGAGTCTCCCAAAATTAGGGGGTACCTTATTTTGGGGGGTCCTTATAATAAGGATCCTACTATTTAAGGTACTATATTAGGGTCCCCTATTTTCGGAAACCCCCATATCACGCAACATCAATCCGGAGCCACATGCTGTTGCCATATTCCAGGAGAATGAGCTGCAAAGCTCCAAAATGGAGGCCCGGTGCAAAAGGTGTGTTAAGAGAGTCACTTTGGAGGGTTGCAAGAAGACATTGGTCCATGTCATTTTCTGTGGTAGTCGCGACTGTCAGGTTCAGCAACTGCAAGCTGAGCTCGAGGAGTTTCGGGCGTCTTCCAGGCGGTTCACCTGTTTTGAGTCGCCGGTGCTGCCGCTGCGTCATCGCCTTTCCCTTCATAGTGAAACCAATCCACTCAATACACCTGTGCCCCTCGCAACTTCATCTGCTCCGCAGGCAGCTAGAGACGCGCTGCACACAGCACCAAAGCACCATCAAAGAGAAGTCGGCTGGCACCCTACACCTTTGCACAGCCTGGCGGCTCCATCAGACTCCGTGTGTTGGCCCAGTGTTGGCCTATAAGGAGAAAATCATCGCTTTGGTGAAGCAGCTAGACCATGAAGGCCTCCATGCAAGTTGTTATGTGCATTCAGGGTTTAGGGTTTAGGGTTGCTGTGCATGTGAAGCAGCGAGTCACGGCGTGTCAAGCGCCGCCCGTGGCAAATGACTCTTCGACAGTTGAGCAAGTACGGCTACTTTCTGATGAGAACAACACGCCTTTGCCTTGGTCTCTCTTGCTTCACACCCCTTCCTATCTTCAAGTGTGCCGGGAAGACCGAGGCTCCGATTGGAGTTGGGCCGTGATGCCGAGTACTTGAAGGCCAGTGCAGGTTAGTTTGACCCACTACCCATAGGCCCCTAAGTAGTTCCTCCTTATGGTTTATACTTAGAGTCCCATGAGGTAATCCCAAAAAGGAACTACTTAGGGGCCTACGGGTAGAGCACTGAGAGTTCAAAGCTGGTGTCTTTGGAGGTTGTAGCGGCTTCTGCCGACCCGCTCTCCTACAAATCTGCTGCCGGCGCGATTTGCTCAGCTGACCGTGTGAAGTCGCGACTTTCTGATAAGTGCCGAGATTTGCTTTAAGCCGATTTCGACCTAAACCCTAAAGCCCTAAACCCCGAACACTCGTCGCTGCAGTCTATGAATCCGTAAGGCGCTTGCTGAAGACCTCTTGAATGAAGAGCAGCAATTTCGCGAGGAGCCATCTGTTGTGGTTAGTTACGCTTGCAGGAAAGTCCTGCGAAGAAGCGCTGAAAGGCTATGATCTAACGCAAGGACTTGCGCTCGTTAGCGGCGAAATATCCCGGACTTCCAAAAGCAGGCGAGGTTGTCGCTTGCAAGAATGGGTACCATTATAAGTGCTGGTACTTGCAACTGTGGTGGCCAGGCGACCACTACAACCATTGGTGTGAGTTGCAGATCTCTCGGGCGCACAGCTCATTCTGGGGACCGCTGTCCACCAGCAGCGGCCCAAAAACCCGACGCCGCAAATCGGCCGTGCTGAGGTGTCTGATCTTCATCGTAGTTTCTTGCATCGACTGCAAGATCATCGGAGTGACTTCCCTGAGGATGTGAAGGCCTTCAATCGGTTGATGCAGGCATGTCAGGTTCGTAGCAGTGTGACAGGTCGAGTTCAGCACGCCCACAGAAGAAGCACAGAAGGGCTGGATGCAGCAGGAAGCCGTGATGACGAAGGACCCGCGATGCTTCGGAGCAACTAACCAATATCGTATGTAATACTGGACAGTATTGTGCAACCTTGGGAATTCTATTATACAATTATGAACTATAGCATAACAGTAAGCAAGATCAAATGCTGTTACATACTGTTATAGAATTGTGAGATGTAGTATAATTAATAGTACACAAGACAAGACTAGATTACGTACTGTTTCAAATTTTCTCTCTCTGACAGGCCGGGGTCGAGTTCCAGGAAGCGGAGCAGGAGCACAACCGAAGGCCCCGTAGAGACACGGCAGGGTCAGATCTGGGAACCGCCAACAGAGGGTTTGGGGTTCGGGGTTTAGGGTTTAGGGTCTGTCTGGGGTTTGGGGTTTAGGGTTTGGGGTTTAGGGTTTAGGGTTCGGGGTTTAGGGTTTAGGGTTTGTCTGGGGTTTGGGGTTTAGGGTTTAGGAGCTAAGGTAGCAGGTAAGATTCTTGCTATGAGGTGCCCGAAGCAAAGCGCCCCCTAAACCTTACAAACCCTGTTGTTACCCTCACTTATTCACTACAGTACAAATTTAACAAATTCTAGCTACTACGACCGTTATTAATGTGCGTCTAAAGCAAGCCTCATAATGTCGAGCTTGTGAGAATGGAGCGTTTGCCTCGGAAGGTGGGAGGAGCATCGCTTGAAGCTCACCTTTGAGAGGGACTCCAAGGCCCAGCTTCGGCAGAAGTATTGCATATGTGATTACTTGGAACAAGGCATATCTTACTAGACTTGTAATAAAGAGCTTGAGGGAATGGTATTACTAATCCTTCAGGCTCCTGTTTTACTTTTGTTGCCACTGGCTTTTTGGTTTTGCGAGGGTGAAGACACTTTGACTGGAGCTGCAAAGCTAAGAAGTCTTGTTTTGACATGTTCAGAGCGGACGCCCTTCTAGCCCATGAGCCCGCAAAGTGCAACAAGCACAAAAAGCCATGAACCAAGACCCTCCATCGACCCTCTATTAAGTTTAGGGTTCAGGGTATTAGACCCTAAATACCCATTATCTGGGACCCGGTTTGAGGGTACAACGAGGGTCCGGGATCTCGCTGGAAAGCCAAAGAACCTGGGTGCTTTTGAGCCGAAGGCCGCAGGTCTGCAGCAGCAGAAGGCAGAACCACTTTGAACGGTTTAGGGTTAAAGGGGTTTAGGGTTTAGGGCACAGGACGCTGGCGGAATTTATATCTGCATACTAGGCACCATCATGCACCTACGCGACCCCGGCCCCAGCTCCCTGAGGTTTAGAATCTAAGCCTCTTTTCCCAAGGCACTGTTGAAGCTCTGAATGTCAGGTCAAGCAGCTGCTTGACCAAGCGGAGCGTTCTCAAAGCAAGGTCAGAGCCTTGCTGCGGACATGACATGAATTGCTTATTGCGCTTTCATCCCCGTTGGGTCACCGGTGGTAATACTGGTAATATTCACTTAAATTGAATCCGTGGTTGTCATACTACTTGTTTGTTGTTGCTGTTTGTGTTGCCGCTACTACTTCTACTCCTCCTTTTCCACCTCCTGCTGCTGTTGCTGCTGCTGCTGCTCCTCCTACTACTACTACTACTACGACGACGACGACTACTACTTCTTCTACTTCGATTCTACTGCTACTACTGTTGCGGCTGCTGCCACTGCTGCTGCTGCTGCTGCTGCTGCTGCTGCTGCTGCTCGTTCTACTGCTACTACTGCTACTGTACTTCTTATACTCCTCCTACTATTCCTGCGGTGTTGCTGTTGTTGCTGTTACGACTGCTTCCACAACAGCTGGAAAGCAACGACGAGTTCTTGAACGGCCCGCAGGCTGAGAAGCAGCTTCTCATGCAGCAGGCCTGACTCTAGACTCTAGCCTGTCAAGCACACCCGGCCGCGGGGCCCTTGCTTGATGTTTCATCTTTCCGCTGCGTGGCAGGCCAAACTGTATGGCCAGCGCATAGATGCCCAACTGGATCGTGCGTGGGAGGTAGCTTTCATGGTTAAGTCTCTCTCTGTGGCGCCCTGCCCATGCTGGTCTTGCGAGGATCAGCGGCAAGAGCGGGAGACCCGGTGGTCCCTGTCGCGGCCCCGGAGTAGGGTTTAGGGTTTACCCATAGGCTCCTTGGTAGTTCCTTTTTGGGATTGCCTTATAGGATTCTAAATGTAAACCACAAAAAAGTACTACTTAGGGGCCTATGGCTAGGGGAGCTCCTCTTCAGAAAATCTGCGGAGAGGCATCGTGAGCTCGAATCGCGAAGGCATCAGCAGCAGAAGCAGGAGCTGCGCCAGAAGATCAAGGCCGGGCACAGCTGCACTAAAATCTAAGCCCAAGTCCCTTACAGTAGAAGCCAGAAACTTGGAACGTCATTGTCCCCATGCCCTTAGTATAAAGTATAGGGAATCCCAGCACTCGTCATCCTAAGCCCATGTTCCAACTTTCTGGGGTTCACTACCCATAGGCTCCTTAGTAGTTCCTTTTTGGGATTGCCTTATAGGATTCTAAATACGAACCATAAAAAGGAACTACTTAGGAGCCTATGGGCATACACCATAAATCGTCCGGACTCAAGCAAGCTCCTCCCAGGAAGAGTCTCTTGCTATGGCCCAGCGAGCCGAGGACGTTGCCAGAAAGTGAAGTGAGTGAGCACAAAGGGATGCTGCTGCTACTACTACTACTACTACTATTACTACTCCTGCTGCTGCTGCTGCTGCTGCTGCTGCTGCTGCGGCTGCTGCTGCTGCTGCTAGTATAACTACAGGACCACTTTGCTGCAGGTCTTATCAATTATCATCGACTTCAATAGTAGTATAGGGACTAGAGCTGTTCCTGTCTTTTGGGGGCCCTTCTACTACTGGGTAGTCCGCTAAATTAGGGGCACCCTGATAAACAGGACCCCCAAAGGGACCCTAATGTAGAGAACTGCCCTACTGCTGCCTGTGTTGGCCGGTGAGGACCAAGCCTCGGCATCGAGTCGCTTCACGGAAGCCGCCAGCAATAAGCTGGCAGCAGTGGAGGCTCTGAGGGGCTGGGATTTAGGCGGTTATAGTCTGAGTTCAGGGTCAAGGTTTGAAGTGTTTCGGGTTGGGAGGTTTGGGTTTAGGATTGCAGGTTTGGGCTTGAGTTTAGGCTGCAGCTTAGGGAATTTACCCCACCAGCAAAGCTTGACCTGCTTAGGACGCTTGGCTGCGGAATGCCGAGCGTGCGGGCTCGGTGAGCGCAGCCGCCTCACTTCGCTTCTGGAGTTGAAAAACATGACCGATGTGCGGTGAGAGTTTGACTGAGGCCCAGGCCATGAAAAGCAGAGACTTTGAGTCCTGTCTTCGAGCTCTTCAGACTTCTATCACTGCGGCTGCAGCCACTTGGTTGCTTGCATGGTGTGTCTGGAGCACAGTGCAGCGGACTCGACGATTCCGTGATCTGAAAGTTCCTAGGATTCCGTGGGTTGCACAGGCTGCGGGCACCTCAGCGCTTTGTATCAGCCTTCTCTACCTCCTTCCTCCGTCATATTTTTTCCTGTGTTTTGCTTTATCAGCTGTGTCACTCTGACATCACTCTTACTCTCTCACCTGCTTGGCTACATCAATGTGTTACCCTCGTCCTTCTCCTTGTGAGCCAGCACCGTCCCGGGTTTTTTGAGAAGATGCCGGAATTGCGGGTTTTTCCCTCAGATAGAGGGATCCTTAAACCTTGACTTAAGGCCTAGGTCCTATGTGCAGTCTCTATCTAACGCTAAACCTATACCCTAGACCCTAAACCCTATATGCACCTATAGCATTATAGTGTACTTAAGAAGGGAGTCTTGAGCCCTTTGGGCACTTCGCCACCGCACCGCACGAGATCCAGGTGTTAGTTCTTCTACCTCTCAGCTGCCAGCGCGAGGGCTTGCACCTTAGCCATGCAAGCTCTGTTGAGAGTCGAGCCTTGTTGTCTTTTTTGGGATTTTGGTGGCGCATATCGATATGAGAGAGGTCGCAGTACACTGGCGTTGGGCTGATGATCGACCAGGTCCCTCAAGAAGTCTGTTCAATCTCCTCATAGATTCAACCGGCCGGCTTTGTAAGCATCTGCTACCAGGTGGAGAGCCTCCTGACGAACAGAATGGAGATGCGAACGAAGTTGAGGAAGGAGCTGGAGGATCAGTGCGGGGCCTGCTGTTCTTGCATTTTCTGCACCGGCTGCTGCTGTTCCTAGACCCTCCATCTACCCTCTCTATTAGACCCCAAATGCCCTTAATTTGGGACCATATACCCCTGTTTGAGGGTACTTGGAGGGTCCTGGTTGTCGGTGTTCAACGTACTATAGGTCCAGGCAGCAGCTCCGCAGCTGCGTGGAAAAGCCCAGAACTCAGACATGTCACTGGCTTGAAACCATGCAGAAAGACGCTGCCTTAAGGTTTGTGCAGAGAGAAGGGGTGGAGCGAGATAATGAGGACAGACGCGCCACAAGAATCCCTGCGTGATCAAGCCATGTTCATTGCATGCACTAACTTCGGTGACGTTGAGAGATGCGCAATGATGAGGAGCTACCGGAGAGTCACCAGGCGGAGACTTCAAGTATTTGACGTGCATGCCGCAGAACTTAGTTTTCCAAGATAGTCCGACTTCAGGCTGCCTCCATCGTCGGACTATTGCGGATGCGGCAGCATCGACACGTGTCAGATGCTGCGGACCCCAGCAGAACAGAAGCTGCGGCAGAAATCGAGCTCGGACGAGCTTCAGGCCATGCGGCGACAATTCCAAGACTACCTGCTCGTGCTACGTTGGGGACTTGGCGGTGGCTACCCATAGGCTGCTTAGTAGTTCCTTTTTGGGATTACCTTATAGGATTCTAAATATGAACCATAAAACGGAACTACTTAGGAGCCTATGGGTATTGCAGCACCCAGATCACATGGACCTGACAGCAGTGAAGGCCTTTGCTCCTTGGGAGCCCTGTGGCTCTCGCCCTCAGGCGCAATTTGGGAGTTTCCGAAACTAAGGGGTACCTTATTTTGGGGTCCTTATAATAAGGATCCTACTATTAATAAGGGTACTATATCAGGGTGCCCTATTTTCGGAAGCCCCCCATTTCACCGGTTTTTGCCAAGGGATCTTTGCCCTGCACTCGAAGCTTGCGCCCGGAAGGCTCTAGTCAAGATGGTGTAGAAGACCTGCCACCTCTACCAGCTGAGCCACCGTCCCAGTGTCAGAAAGGGTTTAGGGCTTAGGGTTTAGGGTTTGGGGTTAGGGAGAAACCTACACGATGAGACGCTGCTTTCTCTTGTCGCGTCCTGGAGCTGCCGAGGCTGGCGGCACACGCCGAAGCGGAAGGCCTCATTGGGCTTTAAGGGTTGCAGGGCTTCGCCCAGAATCTGCCTGTGGCCGACCCCATTCTTCATGCGAAAGACTCTGTTTCCACAAGCCACGAGATGCACTGTGCGTAGGCTCCAGTCCACCCCGCAGCGGAAGTGGGCCTCAGGCTGGGGCGTTTGGCGACTTCCCCAAAATGGCACACCACACCGTTAAGATCCCTTGGGAGGCAGATGTTGATGATGCAGCTTTCGAGGGGAACTTCTTGTGCGCCATGCGTGCAGAATCGTGCAGAGTCTTCGAGCTCATCCTAGACCCCACCTAGACCCCAAAGAACCTACCTTTTTAAGGACTTATATAAGGAACTCATAATAACGAGCCCTTAAAGGTAGGTTCTGTAGGGTTCAGGTCAACCCTAAATTGTGTGCAGCTCCAGCGGGGCAACTTGCATCCGAGGTACAGAACTTTGTGCCAGAATCTCCTTGAGCGAGCGCTGGAGCCTGAAGGGGACGAAGACAGGATCATAGTATTGAAATCAAGGAACTCTACCTTATATAAACCATCATTATAGACCCTTAAACACCCTTTAAGCAACCCTTAAAAGCCCGTAAACATCATTATATACCATTATAGACCCTATCAAAACTCGAGGCTCAAGCTGCTCAGTGAGATGCAGCGAGACGAGCTGCTGGCTCTGAAGCGGGCGCCGGCTCCCCAGTTCTTGGCCCGCTCTCGCCGAGTCTCTGGGCCTTTTATATAATACAAAAATCATAGTATACAATAAAAAATTATAGTGTACTATAATATCTTATAGACTAAATTTATTATAATATATAATAATAATAATATATTATATTAATATATTATCGTTTATTGTAATATATTATAGTTAATTATAATAATATCATATTAATATATTTGTAGTATATGATATGTCTTTTCCTTTATTTTCAATATATTATAGTTAATTATATTCATATATATATATAATAGTATATTATATGTCTTTTCCTTTTGATGCCCAGGTATGCAGCAGAGCAGCGCCTGGCGCTACAGTGCGCTGCCGAGTTGCGTCGTCTCCGGGTGCTGTGGTTTTCAGGGGGGGAATGAATACTTAAACGGTTTAGGGGTTTAGGGTTTAGGGGTTAGGGGTTAGGGTTTAGGGGTTTAGGGTTTAGGGGTTTAGGGTTTAGGGGTTTAGGGGTTAGGAATTAAGGCACCTCTGTCAGCTGGAGACCGAGATGGTGGAGAAGGCACCTTGCATTGCGGTCGTGGGAGAGCCTGGCAGATCAGCTTTTGAGCCCGTTGGGCTCTTCCAGACAGGCCGTGCAGCAGGACCTGCAGGAATACGAGGTTCAACTAGCTTCCCGCCTGCTTTCTGACTCCGAGCTTGAAGCCCAGTCTATACGAGTCGAGGACCGAAGGACGCAGATTCTTGGCTCTTTTTTCTCCGAGGCGCCAGATCTCAGAAGAGCACCAGCGACAAGCCAGCCGAGAGACGGTCTCAGCAAGCTTCTTCATGCTCTCTTCGGTCGACTGAAAAAACGCGGCCATCAGGTCAACCAAGATGTAGCTGTGGAGCTTGCGAAGTACAAGCTGCAGGTTGCTGAAGAGGATCAGGCACATCGACGATGTTTGTAGCACGGCACGTCCTCAGGAGCAGCATAGATATAATAGACAATTACAGGTGACACTATCAGGGCTTGATCAACCCATTGAGCATGAGGTCGAGAATTTCCCTGTCCCAAACTAGCATCGCAACTAGTCTCACGAGTTCTGCAGTACCTTGTTGGCCCATGGAAATGCTGCCAGTAAAAGGCTGCAGGGCTACCTCGGGGCTGTTTGGAAATCATACGATGCAAGGTCTACAGCAAGCGAATACAAGAGACGTTGGCGGTCAAGCATTGCTGGTGCATCCCTAACCCCCCAGGTACCTACTATATAGGGCCCTAGGGGCTCTAGTACCCTATATTTTAGGTACCTGGGGGGTTAGGGCATGCTCAACATGTTTTTCTGTTGGCCTGTGAGGCGATCGTGCAGGATCGCCAGAAGTGGGTGATGAACAGGACTCCGCAACCCGTTGCCTGGTTCTCTGCGGACTTGGCATCCTGCTTCTTCCATTTGCTCCATGCCTTCGTCATCTAATGCTGGTTGTCGCTGTGCCAGGACTTCCGTCTGATTCTTCTGGGGCACTCCTCTGTTGTGCAAGTTTCGTGTTTCTGTAGGCTAAGTTTCAGCACTTTCGGCCCGTAGCTCCAACTTTAGCTTGCATGTCGACGGGGTCGAAGATACCTGAACAGAATCACAGAAACGTGCCGCGCCCTCCCTGTACATGTCGCCATTCCCATGGTTGACGCACTTCGTAACTACATCTGCTCCTCCGATGCTGCGATTTCGCTGATATGTGCCACAGAGCAGGATCGTGTGTCTCCAAGCCAATGGAACTGTCAATCCCAACGACAGGCAAGGCAAGACTTGGGTCATGTGTCCAACGCCGAGCTTGCGGTAGCTTTTTGAATGCTGTTGGAGCTCAGGGCTCTTCTGTTGCGACTACGTGCAGAGTGGGCTTCCCAGAGGTTTCCACAAGCGGCTTTGGCGTTGCTTGCGCTCGCTCGCTCGCTCTCTCTCTCTCTCTCTCTCTCTCTCTCTCTCCCTGGGGCTCCAAATAGCCCAAAGTAGGTACCATTTGCATACCTGGAGCCCTTGGGGATCTGAACACTTCCATCCGTCTGGGCCGCGGGGCTTCAGGCTGCAGGCCTGTGACACCAAGATTGATGAGTTCAATGCACGGAGCTGATTCGCCAAGGCAGTGCCGTGAGAAAGGAAGAGTTTAGTCTTGTGTGCTGGAGGCCAATGCCATGGCCCAAGCAGATCTGGAACGCGAAGCAGTGCGGCCGCGGCCACCATCCACTGGGCAAAGACGCCGTTCCTCCGATGAGCTCACGGCCGCAGAGGTTTCAGACCGTCAGGCCGTGGCCACGCAAGGCATTCCGGATGAACCTCTGCCGCTCGGCTTGGCCGCTTTGGGTGGGCTCCGCTCAAACCGAGCAGCGATGACCTTTGGCCGCTGTGAGTCTCCGGACTTCGGTGTCAAAGCAGACCCGACGGATTGGCCCTTCACCACACGCCACGGCATGCACGGCAACCTGGGCAGACTGAAGCCGAAGGGCAACTACGGGGCTCAGGATCTTCCCCCAAAGCAGCAGGCAGGGGCCTCCTCTATTCTCGGCCTCTCTGAATTGGCGAAGTGCCCGGCAAGGCCGTGGAGATAGGGCCGGCAGGACCAGCGCTCGGACAGGGCCAGGGCTTGCCAGGGCAAAGGCGGCTTTCTGAACTCTTAAGACATCAACCACCGAGGATCGCCACCGAGACCTCCGATGAAAATGCTTTGGTCTCAGCTTGCGCTCTCCGTGAATTGCGGCTCGGGCTTCTTTGCATTTTATAGAGGTCTCCTGCAACGCGCAACCGCTGCGCCCGCCTTCCTCCGGTGCCTCTAACCGCACGCTGAATACGCTGAGGCCGCAAGCTTGGAATGGTTTCTGCAGCTTTTGGGGAAACCAGTTTCCAGAAACTACCTATAGTCTCCATTGTAGTTCCATTTTGGGGTTACCTTTTAGGATCCTTAATATAGATTTGGTTAAACCAAAAAACAGGAACTACAATGGAGACTATAGGTAGTACATCATGGCTGCTTGCCTGAGGCACCAAAACCAGCTCTACTGACGGGTGGACACACCTTTTCACAGTCCCGTGGCTCGGGTTGTAATTGCCGTCTGCGCGCATCCGTGAAATGGGCGCTCAACGGCGGGACAGCTCAAGCTCGTCTTTACTGCATGCCCTCATCTCTTCGAAAAAGTGTGCGATAAGACAGACGCGGCCACGGCTGATGCAAGCGATTGCAGGCGTTACGCCAACAGAGATATCCGTTTTCCTTCTTCGGCTGCTCAGTTTGATGCAGTGTCAGGGGCGGCCATGCAAAATTAAAATTTCACCCACCCACACACACATGCAAAAACATAAATAAACAAACAAATACATAAATAAATAAATAAATAAATATATATATGAATATATACACAGATAAAAAAGGAACAGATATATTGACAGTTATCCCCTTGGCGTCCCTAGAACTATATTATAGTTATTGAGTTCTGACACACAAACCACGACCCCAGTCTTATTATGAAGGCCAGCCATGTCTCGCAGCCGTTCTCCGGTAAATGAACTGGGAGACACCAGGGTCCGCTCGGACGGCATCGAGCTATGGGTTGCGTTGACCTCAGAGCAGGTCCCGGGGGTTTCCGAAAATTAGGGTGACCCCCAATATAGTACCCTAAATAGTAGGATACCCTAAATAGTAGGATTTTTAATTATAAGGACCCCTAATTCTATTGTAGTACCCTAAATAGTAGGATCCTTTGTTTTAAGGAGCCCCATATTTTAGGTACCCCTCTTTTCGGACGCTCCCAGGTCTCCTTGTTGGACTCTGAAGATGGGTCTCCTCCTGATCCCTACTCCAAGCGCTATGGCCTCCGGCGCCGCGCGGCTGAAGCCTTGGAACGGGCCCTGTGTTTCATGCAGTGGCGCCCGGATGGAGAGACTCGCCTATACTCATAGGCTCCTAAGTAGTTTCCTTTTTATGGTTCATAATTATAAGGTAATCCCAAAAAGGAACTACTAAGGAGACTCGCCCTACACTCCATCAGCAAGATTTCACGCTGTGCAAGATCGATATCACCGCCAAAGGCTACTTATTCCTCTGCGAAACCAGACAGCTGGAATCGAGGAAGCAAGGCCAGTGGCGCCTCATTGGTAACCTCCGATCAAAGTTGACGGCGCAAGTGGTGGACGGGGAAGCCCCCATCCTCGTCTATGAAGTAAGACCGGAGAGGCATCAGATATGCTAGTACGATCTTCCGCATGGCCATCCGCCTCTGCGGCCGCACGAGATTGCCGGGCCGGAGCAAAACGGCGCAGTGATGCGCGGAGACCTCTGCCAGCATGCACCCAAGCTAACCAAAAAGCAGCAGCTGCAGCAGAACCCTGGCCGTCAAGACTCCGCCAATGCACACCCTAGAGCTTGTCCGGCCAGTCAGTCCCACTTCAATCACAGCTGCAAGGGACCGACATCACCTCTTTTTGGGACTCTTGGGAAGACAGTGGTCTAGTTGTTGCTGTATGCACAGCGAAAGCTTCACGGCTTGACGAAGTAGCTGTTTGCAAGAATCCTCCAAGCTGTAGTAAGCCAGTGTGCAAGCATGAGGGGGCTCGAGGACCATGAGATTTGAAGCGACCTGACTAAGCACTGTAGTGCCGGTGGGTGCCATCATGAGGGTCGGCTTTCTGCGGCTTCGCTAGAACACGCCGCGCCAAGAAGGTTCCAGTGAGCTCATGAGCACAAGAGGAAAAAGCACATGGAATCTCATGGGTCAACATTTATGGAGCAGCCACAGACAGATGCACCAGCTTCAGGTATGGCCGTGTGTGCAGCGGCAGGTGAAGCATACCTTCGTAGAAATGAATGCAAAACTCCAGTATGGCCCCTGCATCGGCAACCGTCAATGCAGACTTGACAAAACAGCCTAGACACGATATTGACTTAGCGTTGAGTTGCCTTGTTCAGAAGCATGGGGACGACATCATGCTGTGGGGCAAAGAGGTGCAGCCACTATGCTGTCCTTAGTGCTTCCTGATTGACCGTAGATGAAAGGAGCTGCATGACCTGCGCGTGTTGGCGGGGCGAACTATCGTGTGGAACCTAGCGTCAGCAACATCTCCCGGGAAATGTACATTCGTCTCGTCCTTTTGCCCTTTGCGCAGTCAGAGTTCGAGTGTTTCCTCCGAATGTCGCTGTCATCTAAGGTCGCCTACATCCGATTGGCCTCCACGGTTATCGTTGCGGTGGTTATGAGATTATGCCATCGTCTTATATGAAAGATCTTGTTGCAAGCGATGTAATGTTCAAGAGGCACAGTCTCAGTTAGACGACGGCATAGATGCGATTGCACAACATAGGTCAGACTTGACCTGTCTAAAAGCATCTGTACTTGTATCTGCTAAGGTTTGGACTGTGCCGGGCTCATTATCACAGGACAGGACGCCGCACAGGCCGGCTTTTGGTGACGCGCCCAGTTTGCGGCTTGCGTCAATCGTGAGACAGAGTTTTCATAGCCGTTAGCGCACAGCCGTTAACACACCCACATGCCCTTTCGACTCAGGTTTGCACACTGTCACAAGGACGGTGCATGCGTTGCGCACCCAGAGAAAGCTTGAGGGCGTCACAGCCAGCAGCTGTTGGGAATCTGGGAGTGCGCGCAAAAAATGCATGATGCTGGTGCCGGCAAGTCTGCATACAGAAGCCGTCATGGCCGAGGTCTTAACTGGCATTCTGCTGTTTTTCGTGTCCTTGGCTGCCTGTTCGCTATTCGGCTGGGTTTGTCGGAGCCCTAGCTGATGTCGAGTGCTGGTGAGGCACATCCCATCCGATCATGCCTTCCTCCATCTTCCTTTCATGGCTCGACTTTGGGTTGCTTTCGCGCAGTGACCTGCCCGCTGGATGCACGGGAGTTCACAGCCGGCATGCATTGAAGCAGCAAGCAGGACTTAGCATTGTCAGCCGTCCTGCCTTATCAATGTCCCCCATTATTGCACTAGAAGGCCAATAGTTGGCTTAGCTTTCATTTCGTCGAGGCATGTCTCTTATCGGCTCGTTCTCATCTTTGCTCACTGCTGTCTTCTTGTAAGCTTGGCGTGTGTTTCGATACTGTTGCGGATATGCAGCTCGCACCCACGGCATGAGCGTCCGCAAGACATCTCAGCCTCTCTCAGCATGTTTCATTTGCCGCAACATTTCAGTTCTAGTTCCTGAAAAAGGGTCCAATGATGGCGTCTTCATCATCGGACAGCGAGACACGTATGGAACACGATCAGGCTCAGCCTTCCTTGGACAAGGGTCCTGCGATGCCACACCTTTTGGGTTCCTGCGACCCCTGCATCTTCTTCGCTACTTCTGCTGGGTGCCATAGGGATGCTTGTCCCTTCTGTCACATTCACAAGCAAACCTTCGAAATAAGCCCACAGAGGCCGGGCAAGCAGATCCGCATGCGCCTGAAGAAGACCATGCTGAATCTCTTGCAAAGCCGGGAGAGTTCGCCGGACATTGCTCATAACGACCTGCAACACTGGGCTCGTAAGAGTGTTTTTGCACGCAACATTCTGAGAGGCTACCTGGAGGCACAGGCAGACGCTGAGGCTCCTGACGCTGATGAAGTCCATGGTCATTCGGCAGCCAGTACTTTGGAAGCCTGGTCTGAGATGGAGTCGTTCCTGAAAGGGCGGCCGCTATCGCTCTAGATCGCTCTAGCGAGAATATTCTGTTTTCTGATTCCAGAACCAAATCTCGTCTTCGAACATTGCATCCGCACACCGCTGCAGCATCAGATTAGGGATAGCCTTGCGGTATGCATGCTGGAATTTGTTTTGGCAGACCGAGATCTTGAATCTCGTAGTAGCCAGTGGCCTTGGAGTTTCATCCATAGCTTCTCGCTCACGCAGCAACTCGAGGTACTTCCACTCGGATCCCACAAGCGGGTTTGCCCGCATCTCGTATCAAAACACTCGGGTGCTTGCGCAACACAGACAGTCTCACCTGTTTTGAGGATGCTACCCACGTGTTTTCTGCTGGCACTGGGCATGGATGCTGCGCCACGTACCGTAGATTGGAAACTGAAATTCGATATCTAATCCGCCTGCGCATCCCGGCTACCCTGGCCAATGCCTAATGGGAGTCGTTCAACGGCCTGCCAGTTGGAAGTTTTTCTGCGGGAAACCAAACCGGTCCTGCTGCCCCCTTGTCCTGCCGCTGTGAACTGGACATGGGGGTCTCATGTTGAGATATGGGGGTTTCCGAAAATAGGGGATCTTATAAGGGGAATCTCCCATATCTTGGGCCTAGCAGAAGACCTACCTCGCGAAAGGAAGTGGGGCAGGCATTTCAATGTGAAGCTTTGACGAAAAAGGAGATGTGGTTCTTTGCTGGAGAGGCGTTGAAATGCTCCGTTCTTCACATCCGTTTTGTCCGGCAGCACTTCGACCGAGAGTCGATCGGCATTGCCGAGCCGAGAGCTTTCTGCAGGGGGTGGGGGTTGGAGTTTGGCCAATTCTACCCCACGGACCTGGACGGCACACCATTTAAAGCTGCCAGGGTCGCCCCTACCCGCCTGCACCGGAGATCTTTTTCTTGCCCCAACGTCTGCCAAAGCCCAGCTCGAAG